TGAGGTACTTTGTAGTATGATTTAAAATTAGGAAGAGATCAGCCTTCCATCTTTTTACCCCAGAATGGTTTTGGGAGTTTTATTTCTTTTTCATGGTGCTCTCCTGGAGACCCCACATCACTGATAGCTTGACCTGGGTAATCCCCAGCATTGCTGGGCCTGAGCAGCACCATATTCTTAGACCTCCCATTGAACTACTGATCTGGTTGGCTGAGTATCACTGGGCGGGACCCCCTGGCCTTTTGAGGGTCACTTTAGAGACATCCCTCTCTACCCCCATACCCACTGAAAAAAAAGAATAAAAAGAATGTGTACTTGACATTCTTAGTGTGGAATCATCTATACATGTTTATTAGTCCAATATCCTTTATTTCTTCCTTTAAAGTCTGTGTTTCCTTCCTTTTTTTATTGATCTATCTTGTGATAAGGGGATGTTAAAAGTTCATTACTATTGTGTTAGTGCCTACATTATTTCTTTTTTTTTTGTCTACATTGTTTCTTAGGTTTATTAGCAGTTGTATTATAAATTGTGTTGGTCCTACATTTCATTTGTTACATATATGTATATGAGTGTAAAATCTTGATGTATAGATCCCTTTGATCATTAAATAATGCCCATCTCTGTACCATCTAAACATTTCAAGTTTAAAGACTGTTATGTGACATAAGTGTGGCTATCCCAGCTGTGTTGAGCAACTGTGTGTTGGTCAGATTGTTTTCCTGAATCGGATCCTGCATTTGTCATGAATGTTCAGGTGTATATACTGTAAGCAGCAGAAAAGGATTTTTCAGTTTTCTAGTTCATCCATCCACTGTCTGCTTTATGTTTGGTGAGTGAAAGCCATTAGCATTAAGAAAAATTTTGAGGGGGGACAGAGTGAAAGTACAGCAGGTAGGACACTTGCCTTGCACATGACTGATCCAGATTCAGTCTCCAACATTTCATATGGTCCTCCAAGCCCCATCAGAGTGGTCTTTATTGCAGAGCCAGGAGTCCTGAGGACAACTGGATGTGACCCCGTAACAAACCAAAAATAATTGAGATAAAGAAAGTTATTGCCATAATTTTGCAGAGATTATAAATGTGTGTGAAATTTGTCTTTCCTTTTAAGGGCAGACATTTAGTGCTCCCTGCAAAACTGATGTAATGGCCATGAACTTCTTTAACTGTTGCTTGTATATAGAGCTTTGTGTCTGTCATTCCTTTAAATTTGAACGGCAGCCTCATTGGTTAGAGTATTCTTGTTGAGGTGCTTGTTTCACCCAACTCATTTGCTACATCCAGTCATTTTTTTCTTACTAGCACTCTCATTTGATAGTTCTGTTGTCCATCATATATAAACTCCTTCTTTGATCTTGCTGCTCTCAGGATTCTATATATTTGGCTTTTGACATTTTAATTATTCTGTTTGGGTTTATTTGTTTAGAAGTCCATGAGCTTCTTGAGGCTAGGCATAGGACTCAATTCTCAAATTGGAGAAGTTCTTTGTTATAACTTCTTTCACCAGTCGTTCTGCATTCTCAACTTCCTCTTTTTCAGGGACTCCTGTAATTCAGATATTTTTTGTCTTAAACTCATTCCATAATTCCCGGACATTTTCTTAAACTCTTCATCCTCTGAGAAAGAGTTGAAGAGAGCAGACTCGTTGGTAACTGTTTAGCACCACCTAGTGTCATAGAGATCCTTGGCTGAAGTGCTTCCCAGTGTATCTGAGCTGTCATATAGGCTTGGGTCTTTTTCCCTTTTTTTCTGCATTGCTGATGAGAGCTTTCCCAGTTTCCTGACACTTTTTTTTATCACTGTTCTTCCTTTACCCACACTGTGAGCTTCTTCTTTTCAGTTTCTTTGTCATTCCCCCAGCCCAGGACCACATGATGGGTAACTTGTTGAGATAGTGGTTCTGCCAAAGTTCTCTGGTACACTCCATAAAGTTTTGCACTCTCTCCTCCCTGCCAAGTCTCTTACAGGACTGATTACTGTTTCTGTTCCGATCATTTCATCTCCTGGAATAGTTTACCAGGCTTTTTTCTCAGTCACCTTAGTCCTGCCTCAGAAAATTGAATTCTCTATTCATTTCTTTAGCACAGATACTTGGGCTGGAGTGATAGCACAGCAGGTAGGGCATCTGCCTTGCACGTGGCCAACCTGAGTTCGATTCCTCTATCCCTCTCAGAGAGCCTGGCAAGCTACTGAGAGTATCCCACCCGCACAGGAGAGCCTGGCAAGCTCCCCATGGTGTATTCGATATGCCAAAAATAGTAACAACAAGTCTCACAATGGAGACATTACTGGTGCCCATTTGAGCAAATCGATGAACAACGGGAGGACGGTGAAGATGGTAGCACAGATACTTAAACTTTGCTGAGTATATAACATTAATTTTTCAAATTATTAAAATGGTGAAATTTTAAGGAGTTATTTGATAGGAGATAACCTGTGTTTTGAGGGGGCACATATAGTCATTAAAAATCATGGCCAGAGTATTAAAATAAAGTTGGATTTTTTTTTAAGGCCCATTCTGCACCTTGATTTGTTATCATTGAAGACATATTTCAGCCATTGATCCTGAGACCTTACAGAACAGGCATATTAGAATTTCCTTTTGCTCAATCATATTATCAGATCTTTTATTTTTTTTACTGACAAATTGATAAATTATTTAGCCTGTATGTATTCCTTTATATTAAAAGTTAATTCTCTTTTGTTGTTCTTGCAATAAATGAAATATTACTGAGTCAAAGAGTAATGATTTCATAGCTTTCATTATTTTTTACTAGACTAGTGCTTAGAAAAAATGGGACTGATTTCCGTAATATCGGTAATATTTGCATATTATTGTCATATTCAGTCATCATGAAAAAGGGAAATCACAAATAGAAACATAGGAGAGCTGACAAGCGTTACTACAAAGAAGGTTTTTCAGAACAGGAGGGCATAGTATTTAAATAATATTTGTACAGTTAAAGGTAGTACTGCTCTATATAAAAACAAAGAAATTTTTGAGAGTGAAAACTGGGAAACATTGAACAATTGGTTAGTTTATTTTAAGGGAAACAAAAAGTCGTATCTCTAACATCTCTAGTATTTTGAAAAATAAAATAACACTGATTTTTCAATAGGTTAAAAATATAAAAAATAATTTCACATCACTGTAGTGTAAAAAGTGGAGATGATGGGGCCAGAGTATAGTATAGTGGGTTATAGTATAGTGGGTTAAGTGTTTGCCTTGCACCCTGCTGACCTAGCTTCAATCCCTGGCATCACATATGGTCCTCCAAACCCTGCCAAGGAATGATCCTTGAGTGCAGAGTCAGGAGTAAGCCCTGAGCACTGCAGGCTGATGAAAAAAAGAAACAAAGAAAAAACTGGAGATGAAATCAATAAGATGCTTTTTAATTATAATATCAACAATAATAAAATATTGAGACTACACAGTAATGAGAAAAATTAAAGCAGAATTAAAAAACCTCTAGTAAATCTTATAATTTCCTGGGTAATTAGCAGCATGGAAAAATGCCTTAAGAGATGGACGTTTCCTATGACTTAAACATTTTTATGTATTTGACCTTAACAGATAATTAAGGATTATTGAAGAAAATGTTTGCACTATCTACAGTAAGAGAAATAGAGAAACAAATTTCCACAACATTCTCCATAGAAGAAGAGATTTTTTTTTAAATTTACATGTAAACATCTTCTCTTTCTGTAGTCTGGGTCAGCTTTCAGAGCTGAAGCAATTTGCCTGTTCCACTTTAGAGGTATCATATAATGTAGCAGCTGCATTTTACAATGCAAAGTCAAGAAAGCAAAGACAAGGAGAGAGTAGGAAACTTGCCTTGTATATGGTGAACCTGGGTTCAGTCCCCACATGTTCCCCTGAACACCACCAGGAATTAGTTATCCCTGAGCATCTAGCTTGGAGTAAGCCCTGAACACAGTTGCATGTGACTCCCAAACAAAAACAAAAAGTAAAGGCATTGAAGACTCTTTTAGGAGTTAAAGATAACAGGCTAAAATGATAAAGTATATCTCTTGTTAGTCTATTGTATGTGAGTTTTTACTTTTACCGACTCATTTACTTTTGGCTTTGGGATCACAACTGACAGTGAGCAGTGAGCAAGAATCACTCCTGATGGGGGTTGGGAAACCATATGGGATGCAGGGAATCATACCTACGTCGGCCTCATGCAAGGCAAGGCATTATTGCTCCAGCCCCTCATTCATATAATAAATATTGAGTGGTTAGTAAGTACCAAAGCACTGTGTCAAATAAGTAAGTCTGATACAATTCCTACTTTCAGGTAGATAAGTAATTTCAATTCTGAAGCATGTTGCAAAATGATGGTAGTTGATTTTCCTGAAGAATAAACTGAAGAAAACTTATTCATATGTCTAAAGTGTGAGGTGTTTCTAGGAATTTGGAGAGATGCCAGTATAGGTAGAGTGTAGTATTATTAGTAGTATTTATAACTAAATTACTTAGTTCTTACTGTATTTCCATGCATTGTTTTATATAGCCTATATTCTTCATTCTTTTATGCAATAAGTGCTAGTTACTAAGTTACACTCACAAAATAGTTATAACCTGGCTCAGGTCACATAGTAAGTGGGAAATGGCAAAAATCCTGCCCGTGGTGTTACTGCAGAACTCTGTTCTTAATCTTACTGTTACTCATTTTTCCACTGACTATGAAGACAATGGAGAGGAAGATCACCATGTCTGGGGGGGTAGTTAGAGGCTCTGCCATTGAGCTTTGTAAGTTCAGTGAAAGATTTTGGAGCTTTTTCTAAGGGAGCTTGAGGTTCTCTATTTATTTATTTTGTTGTTATGAAAAAGAGAAATTATAAATAGGAGGTCTTGTCAGAAAACAACAGATGAGAAGGCTATTTGTTCTTTGTTATCAAGAAAGATCCATTCAGTAAAATTGCAAATAAAGAGTCAAGTTCACTGTTTTACTAATCAGTTGAGGCGTGTAAAAAGTACTTTATTTGTTTGTAGATTGGACGTCTCCAAGATCTGGTAAAGAAAAGTGAACAAGGTCTTGTTTCTGCTGAAGAACATATTGCTAGTCTTCAGGACTCTCAGGAAAGACTTCAGAATGAGCTTGACTTGACTAAAGGCAAGCTGAAGGACACCAAGGATGCTCTATTAAATGTTGAGGTAATTTCATAATCTAAACATCAGTGATATTAAAAATAATATAATTTTGTCACTTATAAAATTGGTTTTAAACATTCGATCATTTATAATTAGTGTAGTTGTTTTCTAGCATTGCTATATCAAAGTACTTTAAACTAGCTGGCTTAAATAAGCAGATATTTTTTTCTCTCAGTTCTGAAGGTTGAAAATCTATAATCAGTGTGTTTTTGGGGGCATTTCTCTTTTTGAAATCTCTAATGAAGGATGTTTTCTTTCCCATTGCATTCCTTTGCTCATGGAAACATCCATTTCAATCTTTCCCTCTGTCACTACATCCTCACATCTTCCAACACCAGTCACACTGGAGTAAGGACTCACTCTACTCTAGTACCACCTTATCTTAACTGATTACATCTGCATTGTCCCTGTTTTAAAATAAGATCACATCAGATTTTCTAGGGAGCTGGTACTTCCACATATCTTTTGGGGAACACAATTTTTCCTGTAATGACTAGTATACAAGGTCTTTATTAACATGAATTTAAACTCTGATATACATTATTTTCCGTGATGTACAAATTTCAGAAAGTCTTTGTCTTTTTCCTTCTATTCTTTTTAATTTTTTTGTGTGGGAGCAGGATTTGGGCCATACCCAGCAGTGCTCAGGGATTACTGCTGGTCTCTGCACTCAGGGGTGCAGAGTGCTGGGGTACCATGTGGGATGCTGGGGATCGAACCCAGGTTGGCTATGTACAAGGTAAATGCCCTACCCACTCTAGTACCAACCTGGTTCCCCTCCTATTCTTTAGAAGCAGAACAAATAACTTAGGATTACTATGGAAAGCAAAGCAAAGAATCCATATAACTGAGGAACAGTAGGTAGGAAGTACTTATTTTTCTTTCAGACAGGTGATCTAATACGGACTCTTAAGTAAGATTGGTGGGTGTGAACTCTGAATCTACCACTTAGTTTGTAACATGTATGAGGTTAATTTTTTTAAAACCTTGATTTCCTCATCTGTGCGGTTTTGAAGGGGTGGGAATAATAAGCTTCATACCACTATTACTGGAATTGAAGCAAACCAATCTAGCACAGTGTTCAGCAAAATATCAAGCATTGATAAATACTGCCTTTTTTAAATATTGTTTCAAAAAATTTTAGCTTAAATATAAACAAGAACACTTTAATGGATATACCTTCTGCATGATACATATATAACTCTACTAATACTTTATGTAAAGTGTAATTAGTCCTTATACATTGAATACTAATTACATTCTATTTAAAAATTCTTTGATTTATTTTACTCTTTGAATCTTTTTTTCCTTTTGATTACCTATAATTAACATAACCAGTATATAAAGTAGCCAGTACTGTGCATAGTGGCTATATGTTACAGTATGTTACAGTGGTGTTTATAACTCAGAATAGGTTGGAACTTAATATAAAACAACTTGATATATTTAGATTATTTGATATTAAAAACATTGATTATAACATAGGAAACATTCTGTGGCATAAGATTGAACTGAGTGACTCAATTGGGGGGCCACAGCCGGTGGTGCATAGGGCTGCTGGTGGCTCTGTGCTCTGGGGATGCTTCCCTATGGTACTGGAGATAGAACCCTTACGTAAAGCATGCACTCCACCCATTACAATTTCCCTTGGGCGTGTGTCACTATTTTTATATTAAAAATATTTTTAATTGCCAAAAATATCAGGAAAATAGTATCTTAAATATTTAAAAGCATTTACTATATATTAAGTATACATACATATTAATATAAAGATACTTTAAGTACATCTCAGTAGTGGGAATCTTCCTTCCCAATGTTGGTATCCTAGAGGATGTGTCACAGAAGTACCATCGAGGTTCTTTGACCCTCAGTGCAGTGTGCATCCACTTCCTACCTTCAAGGCATTTTATTGTGCTTACTTATTGTCCTTCCTATCCTGGCACTGGGAAATATAGTTATCAGTTTGCTTTCAATTCTTTAGGGTTCTTGATCATAATTCAATTTTTTCCTGTCAAATGGAGAAAGAAAGGATATAGCTCAATGATAGAGCACTTGACTTCTTAAATGTGAGACCCAGGGTTTAAAACCTGCCACTGTAGAATACCAGCCAGTTCACCAAATTGTAGAATACAATGGGAAAAAATAAATGTTTTATTGCCCTCCCACTATTTTGTTGCCCGGCCAGACTGTACTAGTCCTGGTGCTGTGCTCAGAGATCTCTTAGCAGTGCTTGTGGGGGAACATATGTTGCCAGGGATTTAGCATGGGCCTTCTTCATGTAAACTGTAGGCTTCAGCCCTTTGAGCTCTTTCTCTTAAGCTGGAATGGAAAAGTTTTAAGCAAAACCCTATCAGCTAATCATTTTATGTTTTGATGGATAATTTTTATGAAGATAATAAATGGTAAGTTCTGTGAGAGTGATTTGCATTCAGTAAATAGGCGTGTGTACATATTTATTCAATGCTGTGATTTGTAATACTATTAATAATAGGGTTTCACACGTATAACTTTCAATATACCTTACCTTCCACCAGAGTGTCTTGTCCATTGTCTCAGGGTCCCCTCCCTTGCACCTCCTGCTCCTCATCCTTCATAAACCCAGTTTTGTAATAGTTCTCAGGTTCTGTGTTCTTTGACCATTTGTTATCCCATTACCTCCCACATAAGAGAATAATGATTCTACATCTGTCCCTTTCCTTCTGCCGGCTTCACTCAGCATGACACCCTTTAGTTCCATCCATGTAGTGGAAAATTGTATGATTTCATTTTTTCTTATAGCTGAGTACCCCAAACTATACACTGTGAAATAATGAAATCACTATTTTGAAAGACATTTGCAGTGCTGTGTTTGTTGGCAGGATAGGGGAAAAAAACCTGGTATAATGACATGATTTTTTAAAAAAAGGTTTTGGGTCACACCTGGCAATGCTCAGGGGTCATTTTTGTCTTTGCACATAGGAATTAATCCTGGTGCTGCTCAGGAGGGACCACATAGAATGCTGGGGATCAAACCTGGGTCAGGCATGTGCCCAGCAAGCACTTTACCCACTGTACCATGTCTCCAGCCCCAGAAATATTTTTTAAGTTAAAAAAATTTTTTAAGCCTTGCAGGGAAGTGGGGTGTGAGAAATCATTCCTCCTGGCAGAGTACAAAGGATTGGTGGCTAAAATGGTTGCACTCAGTTTCAGTGCTTGTTACTTACTAACAATGTAGAATGGCAGTTTTTCAGCATTAATTTACTTCTATCCTTATAATTTAGTTATGTTTCTCAATAATTTAGGAGATGGGTGATCCAGTAAAGGTCATTGTGATGGCTGAAGGATGTCTCATCTTCTCTCCTTCTGTTACACCCTGGGAGCAGATATTGCTGGCAGGAACTGATGCTGCCATTGTTGTCCAAACAGGTCACCCCTAGCCCTAGGCTCCAGAAAGCCACTTGACTTGTGCCACTCTTCAGAGATTTTATGTATCTCACATCTATTACCATTATCTTAAATAAATGGGTCACTGTAAAGTCATATAATAAAAAATAGCCTAAGTTTCTCATAATTTTTTTAAAATTTCTAAATATAAATTTTATGAAATCTGTGGTAAAAATTTAACTGCATAAAGTCACTAGTAAGACAGGCACTACAGGAAAAAAGATGAGTACTCACAGATCAGATAGTAGATATGACACAAAAAATACAAAATTCATATCAGAAATTAGTATCTCATAATTATTTTAATGACAGTTCAGTACCACTATAATGTTTACACTTTGAAGAAATATTATACTTTTGAATATAAATGAATTTTAATTATTTATAAGCTTGTGTATAATTCTTAACAACAATTGAATAATTGTTAGATATCTACGATACAGAGGGTTTAGTTATTAACTATGCAGACTTTAAAAAATTTAAAATAATATGTAGGGATCAGAGCAAGAGTACAGTGGGTAAGGTCTTTATAATCTAATGGGGGTTTGATCCCTGGTATCCCATATAATCCCCCAAACAAAACACAAAACCGATCACAGTCATGATCACGATTATCCTGTTGTTCATCGATTGCCTCGAGCAGGCACCAGTAACGTCTCCTTCGTCCTAGCCCTGAGATTCTAAAAAGTGCCACATTCAATGCTCTTTCAGGGTTAGGAGAATGAGACCCATCATTGTTACTGGTATTTGGCATATTGGGTATGCCACGGGGAGTTTGCCAGACTCTGCTGTGTGGGCAGGTTACAGTCGGTAGCCTGCCAGGTTGTCCAAAGCAAGAATGAGATAATAAAAACCAAATAAAATAATTTGTGAAATTATGCCTTAATAAAAAATAATTTGTGCAAGGACATTTAAAATATAAAATGTGTATCATATCTTCTGTTAGAAGGAGACTGCAAGATGGTTGAGTGGGTTGGAGTGCTTTCTTTGCATGTGAGAATGGAAGGTTCAGTCCCATACCTCATGGTTCTCCCGGCACCACCAGGTGTGCCCCCTTGCCTCCTCCAAAAGAAAACAAATAATTTGCACAAATAACTATCAGTCATTGTACCATAAGAATTTAAAAGTGACAATGCAAGTTCTTACATTGAAGTAACCAGTAGTGACTCCTCCTTAAGAATAGACTTTATTGAAAAATTTTAATTCTTCAGGATGAACTAGTGCAGGAAAGGCAACAGCATGAAGAAACCCTGGCTTCCATGAGAGAAGAAGAGAAGCTCAGAGTGAACAAAATGGCCCAGGACTTACAAATAAAATGGACTGAAAATCTTAGGTACATTTTTCACTCTGCAATATAATCTTACCAATAAATGTTTACAAGATTGCTTTTTCTTTTATGGCTTATATACTATCTTTTTTGTTAACTGTGTAGAGCAGCATTTTAAATGTTTTTTTTTCCCCTGTGAATAGATGCAGGAAAAAGTGGGTTTTCTTTTCTGCTTGAGTACAGATAACTTATTTGTGATTTACTCTAGACTTATTCTAGTTTCTGTTCTGCCACTGATAAATTTCTCAACGATCTTAGTTAAATTACCAGTTTACCTTATAGTGCATAATTTTTAAAGATTAAACTCTTACTCTAAATTGACTTTTGAGGAGAATTTATTAAAATGCTGAGAAAATTCTCATTTATTGGGAAGGAAGCATTCCCTTTACAGAGTAAGTGCATTTGCTTTATTTTAGGCAAGAATGTTCTAAACTTCGTGAAGAACTAAGGCTTCAACATGAAGAGGATAAAAAGTCGGCAATGTCTCAGCTTTTTCAGTTAAAAGAGAGAGAGAAAAATGCGGCCCGAGAGTCATGGCAAAAGAAAGTAGAAGATCTTCTAAACCAGGTAATTTGTAAAAAATCTTAAGTTTCCATTTCCAAGGAAGATATAAGACATTGCCAATTGATTTACTCTAATTTTTAATTGGGCAAACTCAAAATATTTCAAATGCATAAAACAGATATTTATAAACATATGACATACTGTTGAATAATTATTACATATGCAGTTCTAAATACTGAGAAGAATTTATAGGTTTTTAATGTATTTGAATTGAATACCAGAGAATTTAAGTAGAGAAAGCTACCTACTTCTCAAAATATAAAACCTTTCTTTCAAGCCATTAGATACCATTTTTGCATTGGACAGTAAAATTGATTAAATGTATCCTGGTTGCTGAAAAACCACTTTTCAGAAATGAGCAATTTACTTCTCTCCAACTAGCAGGATGTTGCCTGTTAAACTTCAAAGTGACAGAAAGGAAGGGTGTTGATATTCTTGAATCTCACATTTACATGAGCATGATAATCTGTGTCATGCTTACTTTTTCCAAAGCATTTATAACTGTAATTAAAAGAATTTTGCACCATTTCACTCATTTATACAACTTCTAAATTCATGAATTCCTAGCATTCTCCTGAAAAACTGGTAATTAAATAGGGCTGACTGCATGAGTCACCAGTTGATAAGTAAATGCAGATGGTGGACAAGAAGCAGCTCAATTATTTAGGGCTAGAAATCCACTATTATCTTTCTATTTGTGATCCTGATGAATTTCAAAGGAAAGACCAGGCTTTCTGCAAGATAATTTGTTGCATAGGTATATGCATGCAAGTGTCTTTCAAGAGTACGTAGGACCTGTCAATTTTTGTCAAGTTTTGCCAGCTTCCCAGAAAGAATTACTTACAAGATTTCAAATTAATTAATTATAAATAACAAGATAACAAGGAATTAATTGTTCATAACTTGCAGTATTACTCAGAAAAAGGAAGTATACATCTGCACATACATATATTTGTAGCATTTCCTTGTTATAAACTTTGAAGATTTCATATTTATTCACGAAAGCTTTATATGTAGGAATATATGTATGTAGGAATATAAGCATATATGTAAGTATTCTGTTAGCATTACTTACCTTATTATTTAGGAACAAAGACAGTCTACTGGGAAGAGTAGTGCTACTCGTCCATGTTCTATGCTTAGATTTTATTAGTTTAATTATATGGGAGGGCTGGAGTGATAGCACAGCAGTAGGGCATTTGCCTTGCATATGGCCGATCCAGCCGACTTGGGTTCGATTCCTCTGCCCCTCTCAGAGAGCCTGACAAGCTACCGAGAGTATATCGCACGCATGGCACAGCCTGGCAAGCTACCCACGACATATTCAATATGCCAAACACAGTTACAACAAATCTCAAAATGGAGATGTTATTGGGCCCGCTCAAGCAAATCAATGAACAATGGGAGGACAGTGACAGTGACAATTATATGGGAAAATGGGGGGAAATTCCTAAAAGTTTGTCTTGTTTTCAATCAGAAAGTGTTGAACCAGAGACAAACTGGGCACTTAAAGAATACTTACTATTTTGGGGCTTGGGGCACACCTGGCAATGCTCAGAACTTACTCCTGCCTGTGCACTCAGGAATCACTCCCACCGGTACTGAAAGGCCCATTTGGGATGCCGGGGATTGGACCTTGCTTGGCTGCATACAAGGCAACCTGCTACCTGCTATATTAACTGTTCAGCCCCAAGGATTAACAATATATTATCTGTTTTCTATTACATCATTTTGTTCATTATTCATTTTATCTTTCTTGTATAAATTGTCTGATTCCATCCATGCTTCTTTGATACTCTTTTCCTTCTTTGTCTGTTTTGCATCTTTTATACCAGTGAAGATATGTTTTGTATCTTGTAGTTCTCTGTATCATTAAATATTGCATATTGGCTCTAAATTTTGTCAGCTTCCAAGGAAGAATTATTAAACAAGGTTTCAAAGCAGATTAATCATAAATACCAAGATAAGAAGGAATTAATTGCCTCTGAATATTAAAACTATTTTGTGATTCTCCATTTTATCAAGCCATTCCCCCATCACAGTTTCTTTATCCTTACCTCTAAAATACATGGGAATATACACTATCGTAGATAAGCAAGTAAATATTGCATTTTGGGATTATTTATGTCTGAATAAAGTTCAGAAAGGAAATATCTAAACAGGATTCCACATTAAAGTGAAAGAGTGTTATGTACCCAAGTTTCACTCTTTTTCAGACATATGAGATAGCAAAAATTATAGCACAATGGTTATCTTTTTTAATATAATATTATTATGGACAAGAACCATCTCTGTCGGCCTTTTGACTCTTGTTATCTTGACTCTCAGTTGTATTCCTAGAGTGTGTGTGCTCTGATGGCTCTTATCCCACAACCATTTCATTCTCTTCATTGCTGCTGGCTTTATGCTTACCTGTGTTTCTGACTCTGCAGGTGGCCTCTCTCCCATTCTAACCCACCCTCCCTCATATGCTGAGAGCAAACCTGGCTGGTGGATGTGATATTTAAGGAGAAAGACAAGGGTAATAGAATTGAAACAGCTGGGGCTCAGGCAGACACCTATATTATGGAAAATATCATAGAATCTCCATTTTCTCATAACTTATGGCAATCATGAGACTATTGTTTGTACATTCCATCATACTTAAAGCAAAGAAAAAGATAAAGGAATTTTTCTTTTTGTTTGTTTGGGGTCCACACCCAATGATGCATAGATCTGGGATGCTGGAGAATCAAACCCAGGTCAGCCATATGTAAAACAAGTGCCTACTGCTGTACTGGCTCTCTGGGCCCTTGGCTTTTATGTGAACTTAAGCTGTAGAAATTAAAATTGACAATATAATCTTGGACTACCTACCAAAAATAAAAAATGGGTGTCAAAAAGTACAATTTTTTGTTTTCTTGAATCAGGTAATTTGTACTGTATCAAAGTTTCCAAAAACTTATTTTCATTTCATGTTCAAAATAGTAATTTAATGTTTTAGTTTTTAGTTTGTTTCTAATCTGCTACATCATTAAACTTTGGTCTAAAACCTATTATATTTTCTATGTTAATTGATGTGCATATTTGAATTCTTTTGAAGTATATGACCTATATTTTTCTTAAACTCTAAGAAAAGTGACTATTATATGGCATCTTCTGTGACCAGTTTCTGTTTCTGTTCCAAAATGACACCTGTTTTTTTACTTCCACCTTTGCCAAGGCAGATTTTATTTTTGGCCCAATTTAATGACTTCATATTAAGACCCTTATTCTGAATAGTGACTGAGAAAATTGGGAGACACCTAGATCATTCATGAATAGAAGGGCAGGATTTTACATTTCATATTTTACATTTGGGGTTTGAGTCGCCATATTGAACTTTGAGGCTCCAATACAATCTTGCTGGTTACAACTATGTATCTGACACAGTTTCCCCTGTCCACCACCTCTTAAATTTTCCATCTAATAGGAATAATATTTGTATGCAGTAGCCTACAATGGTAGTCACCAAATGCAGTTGATGTTCTGGAGAGTTTGTTCTTTGGAGAACTGTTGAGCTGGAAGAGCTCACTGTAGGCCTTTACTTTGAGCATATTTTCTTAATTCCATATTCGGGAATATAGTGTGGGTGACTTACAGTCATCTACGGTGGGTACTTTGATACCACTGATATCAGAAAATGCTAGAAATCAGGGCTTTGTTTGTCAGAGTACTATTACACATTCACCAACCTATCATTGGGTAGAGGAGAAAGGGCAGAATGGCCAGTGTGAATGGGAAACATTTTTCAAGGATAGCTTTTGTGAAACTCCTGAGGATTGTAAAGAATTAACACAAATGTTTTTACTCATTCAACAAACATTTGATTGAGTCTACTCTTACCTCAGACATTGTGAGGAATTCAGATAAACAAGAGGTGGGCATAGTTGGGGAGAAATGACATTATGTAAAACTGTGACATTCAGCATTAGGAATTTAGAGTTTGCTCAGTAAGCTACAGTTTTCTGTCCAAGATTTATGGATAGAGGAATATCTGGCTGGAAACACTGTTTTAGGAATTTGACTTAAATGGCTGTGATATTTAAGTGAGGATGAAATGAAAACATATCAGTAAAAATCTCTCGGTCTAGATTTTGAATTTGTTTCTGAAACAGAATTCTTGTGTATGCACCCCTTTATCTCCTCCTAGACACCAGCCTTCTGTGTTGAAGATTCTTCTTTTTACACTGTGCAAGCCAATCCATCAGTGTTTTGTATTGGTCTACTTTTAAAGGAGCTCACCATTTATCATACCTACCTTTGCTACCATCCTAACCCAAGCTCCTTGCTTTTTTTTTTTTTTTTGCTGCACTGCAACTGGAACCATATATTTTTGCCCATCTCTACTTTCACCTGTTTACAAATTATGTTCCAACCAGCCAAAGTGCCACTCTTAAAATAGTAAGTTGGATCATTTCATCGTCCTGCCAAACCCTCCAGTAGCTTCCTGCCACTTACAGAATATAATCCACTCTTACTGTGACCTATGTGCCTCATGGTTTGAACTCTGACTGCATTGCCAACATCATCTCTGCCACTTGCTCCCTTCTCCCTTCCTTTATTAGTCATACTAAAAGCTATAGTTCTTGTACCATACACACATTTATTAATAATGGATTAATAAATGAAGTTTCAATTTGATGCTTAAATCCTTACTCTTTCCAAAGACATTTTTTGCCACTTTCTTTAAAAATAGCATCCTCGAGATAAACAATGTTATTGGCCATGTGGGTGTTCAATAAGCATATGAAAAGTGTTCAGTGTCACTTATCAGGGAAATGCAAATCGAAACAGTGATTAGGTATCATCTCACTAGTAAGAATAGCATATATCAAAACTCCTAGAAACCAGCAGTGTTGGCAGGAATGTGATTTTAAAAAGGAATTCTTATTCACTGTTAGTTAGAATATTGTCTGGTTCAGCATCTGTAGAAAATAATATGGAGATATCTCCAAAAATTACTAATTTAACTCCCATATAAC